TCAATCTATCAAAAACGTTTTTTAAAGAAATCAAGCAACTCTAAAAATATCTACTATATGTCATCTTGTAGAGAAATGTTTGCTCTACAAAACTGTTGATTTCAGAAAATTTCATAGTTCGTTGCTGCGAAAATACAGATCATTTTTTGAGAAACATGAAAAAAAACTGTTGTATGCCTAGTTCTAATGGACAACACTGTAATGAAAAAACAAAATCCCGTATTCTGTGGTTTTACTAGTATATTCTGGTATAAAACGTGAAAATATAATATTTTGTTGGGATTATAGCTAAAAAAACGCGATTCTAAAAAGTTTTGTTTTTATTTTTTCATTATCTTGAAAGGCGAGTATTTAAGTAAAAAATCGAAAGCGTCCGAAAACTCGTGTAATATACATCATTCGACTCCCTTTTTTTACGTAGATTTCAAATGCCAAACTTATTTCAACATCAAATCTTGTATTGATGATGTAAATCATAAAATATCGTCCAAAACTGCTCAGAACCATATAAATCCTGATTTACTAAAAAAACATATCATTTTTTCTTTAAATAATATTACATTCAATAGAACATAAAAAGTTGTTTACATGATATCGATTTCGTATTGTTTCAAGATTTCCTTTGACTACTGGAAGAAAAATATGAATCTGTTACTGCGTTAGGATGCTTCATTGAGTTTTTGAGCATTTACGTAAATAATAATTTTTTAAAATAAAAATAATTTTTTCTAATAATATATTTTTAAAGAGCTAACATTTTTGTACATACCACATAAAACTTCGTACCTAATCTAATGAAGTTTCCAAAAAGTTGTGCGAAAACATTTCTCAGAAAGCCTGGAAGGAACTCCAGACGTAAAAAAATCTTTATAAAAATTTTCGAGACGTTGAGTGGTGGAAAATGGTCCTAGTAATTGTCTAAGATGTTTGGCAGAGAAAAAAAGGCCGTTCTCATTGTGGCATACAAATTAGCCGTATGCTCCTACGTTCTTTAATTAAACATGTATTAGATAACAAAATATTGAATTCTAGCATGCTAGAGAATTCATTATAGGAGATTAACAAGAAATTTTTTTATTTATATGAAATTCGAGCTTTTCATCAAAACATCGTCAGGAACAAGAAACTGACAGCAAATCTTCGTGTCATGTCTATAATATACACTCTCTCCTCCAGTTTCATATAAAAGTTCATTAAATTTATTGTAAATAAGTTCATTGTTGATTTAAACTCAAGATCAACAAATCATGTTGTAATCAAACAACATTATTCATTACGATACTCTCAATGACTATGTTGTTTTTTGCTTAATGATCCAAATTACAATTTTTAATTCTTCATTTTATTCTATCAACTGCCAATGTTTAATATTCTGTTGTGTGGTTGAGAACAATCCATTCTTTTCCACTGAAACTCGATAATTGCTGAATTTTTTTTTACTTTTTAACGTAAGTTTGAAGTAAAATTGTCGATGAATCAGATATTGAGAATACAATTAAGGGGGGAGAGACTGACCTTCTCTATTTTCTTTCATCACTTTGTTGCCCATGTCCACTTACACACATTATGAGACTTTTGTACCTCCCAGACACATTTTTTTAAACTTTGAATGATAAGATTGGCTCCGATTGATCGAGAACACCGGACTGTCTATATGCTGAAGTTTTAGCGAATTTTGACTGAAGTTTAATTAACAAAAATTTTGTTTTATCTTTAAATGTCATTTTTAGTATTTTATTTAGTAAATGTCGTCTTAGTATTTTCTAAGAATCTTGCCACAGATTGTGACTTAATGAAGCACAATGGAGAAAAACGTTTGCTCACAAAACTTTTCTTTAAGTGCTAAATAGGGTACTGAGTGTAATACTTCTTTCAATTAGCAGAAAACTTATGAGAAAAAACAAATTTAATAATTTAAAGTTATCACAAAACTTAAACCTCAATTGACCTCAAGGTTTTTCCGTTACATAAAAAAAAAGTATTACACTCAGTACACCATTTGGCATCTAAGGAACAGTTTTGTGAGCAAAAGTTTTATTCCATTATGAGCCACAATTTGTAAGAAGATTTTGGTAGGTTCAATTTACGAAGCATAAAATTTTAAGAAAAATGTTAACTTTTTGGTTGTTCTACATTACAAATGAGTAATATTGTCAATAATCGTAATTTAAGAATTTTTTAATCAATGAAACGACTTTCAATTACTATTTTAGGTTTTATACGTTTTAATTAAATTCTTAGAAATCAAGAAAATGAGTCCTCTAGAAAATCTTTGAAAACTCGTGAGTTTAGGCTCAAATCAATTGTATCTTGAAAATACACAATGGGAGTAATGTGCCGATATCAAAATGTATTCTATTTTACCTGCTCCAAACGATTTTTTTACTTGAGAATAGTAAAAAAACATTCTTGTACTTCGAAAGATTTCTAGAAAACCTTTTCAAAAGTCAAAGTATTTTTTGTTGATTTTAAAGCTTTTATTGAGCAGGTAAAATAGAGTACATCTTGATATTCTGACATTGGTACTTGATTGGATCTTGGCTGGATTAGGACTTTTTGCATTTTATCCAAAAATAGGCAAAAATGGAATATTTCACTTATATATACGTTCTCACTAGGTTTTTGAAACTTTTTTGAGAACAAATGTTGCCACGAGATTCAACATAATCGACAATCTATGCATCTCTGACAGTCTAAACCTAAAGACAGAGAAGTCTTAAGGCTTCGGGGGGAAAGATCCGTACCGCTCGAACTAAGAAAAACGAAACTTTTGCTTAGATCTTACTTTTTAGAGGGCACTTCGGCCTATCTATCTACGAAAAAGAACGATAGATTACTATGTCTGTTTCTAGAAATCGATCTTCGGAATGTTTTCGAAAGATGATTTTGCTTATGAAAGTACAGCTTAAACTCTCGTCTTTCGATTGCTGAAGACTACAGGTTTCTATCATTTTTCTATCAAAAGTTATTTAAAAAACAATCGGGGCCACTATTTTTTGGGATGGATAAGAGTATAGGTTTTTCTGAAATATCGTCAATGCGACCGTAACTAAAAATGATTCTCGATCTAAGTACACAACAATCACGTTTGTACAATTAGTTTTGATTAAACCGTTTTTAGTTTTTAAAAATAGACCCAGTAGTTAAACTTTTTGCTAAAATTTTATCTTAATTAATTTATAACTCTGTGAATACTTATCGACTCTGCAAAAATAGTTCAGGATTATGTTAGTCAAATATTCTCCATAATCTGAAAATGTTTAAGAATACTTTTTGTGAGGATCCACCCTCCACTCAGTAGACATTAACCAAATTTTTGTTCGTATGAATTGCTCATGGCTGCTTCAAGTAAAACGAAATGAAAGTAACTCACATATATCTAGAGTAAGACACAAACTGTAATCTATTTTTATGGATATAGATAGATTTCTAATAAAGACTATAGTCAATTTTTAAGTTTTTCACTTTCAAGACTGTTAAGTCTCTGTCGTGCAAAACAACTAAAATTCGAGCTCTCTAACCTTAAACATATGTACCTTAGCTTCACTTTAAAACCAATTCAAGTTGTCCAACATGTATCTGGACGGAGATTTTTTGGGAAATACAAATTGATCCATTTGATCCTTATTTTAGTGACGTAAACTGATTGCTGAAAGATGAAGTCATGTAAATTTTATCGGAGCTCTACTTCGACCGACGTTTCTGACAAGATTGGCTATATATTTACCAAGATCAGTTTCTACAGTGGGAAGAGAGGCGGCTTAGAAATGAAATTCGAATGTAAACTGTAAAATAAATTCCTTATTTGCATTTAATAATATTATTTTGTACTTTCTTTAAATGCATTTTAAATACTTAGGGCATACCAAAAGTACGAGCAGTGACACTTTAATACTGTATATTAAGCTTCAAGAAATTTTCTTTCTATGCAGTCTGATAGAGAAAAGAATGCTCTGCCTTTCTATGCTATTTGATCATACATCAACTAATATAAGAATAATAAAATTTCGATAAGATCTGTTTTGTTCGCATGTGTCACGGTTCCATGAATGCTAGTGAGTACTTTTTGAATAGCTTTTGATAGAAATAAGATAGAGAGTTGCGGTGTTCACCGTTGGGAAGAGGAAATGAAGATGCGTCGAATCATATATTATAGGCTTTTCTAATATTGATTTCTGAAGTATTTTTGTTCAATTTTCTAAGTGTCGGAAAAATGTTTTTTTCTTTTTTACGAAAAAAGGAAAAAGCACAAAAGTGAGCTTTTTTCACAGATTTTGCTAGAAAATTCTATTAGAAGCTCGACTAAAATGCATATTATTCATCTCAACCTTCGGCACTTTGTAGATCTTCGATTAGTGGGTAGAATTTACACTTGATAATTGAAAATTTACTGTAAACAACTTATCAAATATGTTTGTTCTTAAAAAGGCCAATTGAAAACCTTACAAGAAACAGATCAAGAAAACCTATAATATATGATTCGATGCGTCTTCATTTCCTCTTTCCAACGGTGAAAACCGCAGCTTCCTATCTTGCTTCTATCAAAAGTTATTCAAAAAATACTCACTCATATTTTTTCAAAATTAGTATGAATACAGCCGGCACATAACCAGCCGAAATAGGTTTTAAAGATAACTTAATATTAGTTGAAGTACGATCAAATAGCATAGAAAGACAGACCTTTTTTTCTCTATCAGATTATATAGACGAAAGTTACTTTAAGCCTACTATACGGTATTAAAGTGTCACTGCCCGTACTTTTGGTATGCCCTAAGTAAATAAATAAGATTTGAAAAATTAAAAATTGATTTATACAATTTTATTCACATATGTCATTTGATTCAATGACTTAAAAATATTTACTATAAACTATTATCCCTTCAGTGTATGTCTCACAATCAAATGAATTCGTTGTTTTTTACGTAGACTTAAAAATTTTTCAATAACAATTGAAATTCGTTTATAAATGATATGATGTTTAATTGATCTAGTTTGAGATTTTAAATTGTCGGAATTTTGTCCATATTATTAACACGTTCAACTAAATCGATGCGATAGAGAATAAATTCCTGAAAAATGTAGAATAGAAAAAGAATTGTATGTATATAGTAAAACTGCAAAAAATTGAATAAACCTGTATTGCTCGTAATTTTTGTTCAGTCGATAATGAATTTTCATCACCGGTTGGCTGATAATTTAAGCGATATTTGTCATACAGACTATCAATACAACGTAACAGTTGAGATTCGGTCGCCATCTATAACAATATTCTAATTCTTCCAATGTATCAAAATGAAAACGTCTTACTTACTTTATATCGATACAGATCGACTTTTTGTAATAATTTATCTTCTTTTATCGATTCTTTTTTTGCTAATTCAATTTTTTTCTCATTCAATTGAGCAATTCGAGTAGTTAAACCGGCTATTCGTGTATTATGTTCGAGCATTAAACGACTTAATTCCTGACGACGTTCTTGTTTCTAGAGAAAAATATTTTAGATTAAACAATATCTTACCGTTAAGTATTATATTGATATACGTCTTTCGACAAGTCTCGTTGTTGAAACATAGCTTTTGTCTCAGATAATGTTTGATAACGTAATATTAAACCTTTGACACCTTCACTACCTTGTAATGATCCTGTTAAAGAGTTAAAAGGGTATAAATCGTGTAGAGTTTACTACAAAGTTAGACTATTGATCCTTGAGATATATTACATTTCGCCTTTTTCTCAAATAATCTGAAGTGAAATAGTATGTCTGAATTTCCTCTTACAGAATAACGAAAACAAATATCACTGATTAAAGAATTACCTGTTGGAAACAAGGATAGAGCATCTTGTACAAGCCTGAAGACTTTTGTATAAAGATTTTTCTCTACTTGTAATTTTCTAACTCTAAAAAAAATTGAAAGTATTATAGAATCTAAGAAAAAGCAATTGACTCTTTCTCACTTTTCATTCAAAATCTCAACTTCTTCTTGAATTCGATCACATTCCAGTCTTTTTAATAAATAATCTCTTAATTCTTGTTGATAACGTCGAATTGAACTACATCGTTTATCTTCAAGATTATCGATAAACTTTTGAAATGTACGATGACGTTTATCATTCTAAAACAGACACAAAAGAAAGAATTAAATTAAAAAAAGGAGAAAAAATCATTAATACGCGTTACTAAACAAAAGAAGTCTACACACACGCACACACGTACAATAGATAATTAACCTGTTCTTGTAGCGCCAATAATCGAAGTTTTTTTCTACTACACGCAAGTAATCGTTCATGACATCGTTGTCGTGTTTGAATGAGATCTTGATCAACTGAACTATCACTCTCTGTGATAAAACTCACTCGTTTGGCTGGTGTAGAGGCCGATTTTGATCTATATGATTGTTTCGCTGAGGAAGGACGAGCTGCTGATCGTATTGATGATAATGAATATCCTGATAAAGCAGTATCGGGTCGAGAAGTTTCCACTGATGCTGTTGTACTTTGTGCATCGCCTTCAGTTAAGAAGACACTGGCACGTGTTAAAAATGAGCGATAGAGCTGAGCTAATTGACGGCCTTGTTGATCCGAAGATATATTTTCGTCATCATTACTTTGTGTTTCATATTGTGCTGTTTGAGATTCTACTAACGCGTTACTCATCTAAAATATTCACAAAATTCTAGATAATTCAAAATTATTTACATCCGAGAATACTTTTTCACTCAGATATTGATCAAATTTAAATTCCCATGAGTTATAGAGCTGACATAGTACAATGTATTAGTATAGTCATTCACAGCCATTTTTATATCATAATACCAAATGAGTTATAAACTTCTAAGAAATTAATTAAAGCGCTCTTTCAACAGAGTTTGTTTATTAATATTGCATTTTCTATATTTCAAACAAAACACGTGTTTTATGTGTTTTATAGTACGTGTTTTTAAAGTGCACAAAAAATATGTTTCCTAGTGGAACTTCTTGTATCCGAGATCTTGCGTTAAGAAATGTTACAAGATCTTGGATTCTGAATCTTCCACTCAAAATCTTGAAACATCTTAGCTTACTACACTGAAGATCTTAGGAACTGAAATTTCAAGTTCTTCAGTGAACCCACTCAAAATGTTGCAAGAGTTTGAGTGAAAAATTTTCTTTACATTTTGTTTTTATTTATGACAGTCATAGCCATCAGATATACGACCATATAGAGTCATAGATTCTTACTTAAACGATTATGCTCAAGAAGGAAAACAAATTTGAAGTTATTCTAGTGTGAAAATAGTCGCATTTATATGTACACAAGAATGTAAAACAAAACGATGATTCAAGAATTTCCAAGATCTTAGTGCAAGAAGTCAAGAAATTACAAGATGTTCAAGATTCTGACTTCTTGAAATTTCTTGAATTCTTACATTTTCTTACCAAGATCTTGCTGAAAAAATTCAAGTCAAGATCTTGGTTACAAGAAGTTTCGTTAGGGTTAGTCTAAAGGACACAATTTAACGTTCCACAAGAGCTGCGAATGACAAGAGATCGATCTCAATTATTTTCTACTTATGCTAAAAATGTAATACTTCATTTAGAATAGTTAAACGTTATAATTACTAATTTTAATAATATATTTCTAACATTTATTTTTAAGAACCAAACCTATTTTAAGAGATTACGCGTCTTTGTGGGCGTTCGTAATGTGATATGATGCTAGGACAAAGATTTGCGGACAATAATCAGTTGGAAGCAAATACTTTATTTGTTATTGTTTATCAGCTGTTCAGTTATTATTATGTAGATCAACAATATAATAATAGCGTGACACGACATTACCTCGAACGACATAACCGCGAACGACACTACCGCGAAGACTCGTTTATTGGAAAAGAAGAATAAATGAGCCTGGTTTTGTATTTTGTATATCGTGTTTTGAAACCTGAGCGAAGTTATGCAGATACAGTTACAGATATACAGTTTATATAATATTAGTAGGTAATTATTTGCAAATTGCTTATCGTGTTTGACCAGTTTTCTCTTCGGTACACGATAAACTGAAGTCCACTGTTTATAAGCATTGATTTATATATAATCGGGATTTTTATAGCAGTGCAGAACCCATGACAGAACCTTTCCGCGTACTGAGAACCCCGACTCTTTCCCGAAGTTTTCATAGTACACATTTGGGTATTTTTGGCAGTGTGTCGCGGGGGGGGGGGGGGGGCGTGGGGTGTTGGGGTGGAAAATTTGTTTGCACCAAAAAAATTTTTAATTTTGGGAAAGCGTTTGGTGTGTTGGTTTAACCAAAATTT